GCCGCGCGGGAAACAGCCGCGAGATGCGAGACCCGCTGGCGATCATCTCCCGTGCCGTCGGGATGCAAAGACGCAAACTCCGCAGCTCTGTCGGCCGCCCCCCCCCCCCCCCCCCCCCCCTGAAAAGCTCGTTTTCATCAAGAGACAGGCCCAGCTCGAGGTGGGCGTGCACCTCATCTACGCCGTCGACGGCGCCGTCGGCTAAGGCGTCAGCCTGCAACAAAGAACCCGAATACATCCTGCGGTGCGAGTGCCGCCCGGGCCGCACCAGCGCCCAAAGTTTGACGACGTTCCGGCAATCGCTCTTAAACCGAACAGGGTTCGGGGATAAATGAGCAGCCGCATCCGCGGGGGCCCCAAACTCAGCAGCCTGGCTGGTCTGCGGGTAGCTAGAGGGGGGAGGGCCGCATGGGATCGCCCGAAGCTCGCCATTGGCCGAGAGCTTCGCCGCGCCCCACCCCGCCCTCCACAGCTCCTTGACGGGCGACTTCCTACACGAGCCATCCAGGAAAATGCCCCCGACCAGTTCTTGTCCCACGTCCGCGCGCGCGGTGAAGCCACTGGAAATGTCGCGGGGCGCGTCGGAGCCAGGCCTGCCGTAAAAAAGTCTAAACACCTGCGCCGCAAAAGCCTCGTTCTGGCCCGAGAGGCACGGCCGCCGGTCTCCTGGATGGGGGAACAATCCGGTTTCCAACTGAAGCCGCTCCAGGGCCGTCAGGTCGGGCTTCCCGGCATGCTCTAGAACTCCCAGAAAGGCACCAGCTCTTTCCTCAACTCTTCGCGCGACACGCACTCCCACAGACGATGAAGAATGGCGTCGCCTGGCCGCCCGCGCCGTGGACAAAGGGCCTCAACTTGATAGCCTGCGGCTCGCGGGCCGGCAAGCGGCCAGACGCCTCTGCAGCAGACAGCGCGGACGCAGCCCCTGTCCAGGGCCGAATACCTCTTGGACGACAGACCCTCCGGAACAACGTCATAGCACAGCCCGTTGCCCTGAGCGCACTTGGCCCCCGCCTCCCTCGCGAGGAGCCTGCGAGAGGATTCGCGGAGGACCTTCTTGAAAAGGGCAGGGGGGGGGGGGGCAAAGGTAAAGGAGCACGGGCCTCCCAGATCGCCCACCACACCAAACGGCTGAGACATGGACCAATTAAGCCTGGCCAGCGACAACCACAGGGCTCCCGGAGGGCCTCGCGCGGCCTGCCAGCTGGGGCATGGCCCAGTGAAAGCCAGGGCCCAGGCACCCCTCAAGCAACCCCAGGAAAACGCAAGAGGGGGTGACGGAGGTGCGTCTGAGCCTCACTTCGCGCGTATAGCGCAGAATAGGAGCAGCCGCGCCGAACCGCGTCGGGTCTCCTTCGAAGCGCAGCAGCGAGCAAAGAGAGCGCCCACCTGAGGAGGCCTTCAAAGTGGCGCCCGCCAAGCGCCGAACTCGAGCCAGCTCGCCGCCCGAATGCCCGTGGACTTCGCAACCGCACTGCAAAGCGGGGAGGGCACCCGCAACGCAGTTCATTCGGGCCCTGCGGCCGAGGACAGCCCTGGACTTGATTGTGGCGTCTCGGCCCCGCGCTCTCCTGTCTCCCCCCCCAGCGTCGTCAATCCCCAAATTGGTCGCCGACTCGAAGCGTGGGCCGATAAGCGGGCCGAAGTGCTGCTGCAGTCTAGAGGCGATAGCCTTCGAAGAACAGACCATGGCAACCTTGTCAATGGCGATACCGGCCACCAGCATGTGCGTGATCCCTCTATGCAGCTCACCGCCCGACAAAGTAAGCCCCTGGGCAACCGAATCTCCAGGACCAACCGCCCCAAGCCCCGTCTCGTCAATACAGACGAGCAGAGACATGTGCGCAGGGGCCGAAACCGCATCGAAAGTATACAGACCGAAAACTCGGATCACTGTCGTGGCGAACCCGCAACCTGCCACCACACCTCGGAGGGCGCACTGGACTGGCGCCACCGTGGACGCCAGCACCATGCACCTCCCTCCTCAGTCGGCCGCAAGGCAGACAGCCGCGACCGCGGGGTGAAAGCGATGCTGGTGACAACGGCAGTCGAGCAGAGAGAGCGGGACCTGCTCGTAGAAGTTGAGCATGTCCCAAAGGATGGTGGCAGCCTCCTCTCCTCGGTTCCTGCTGGCCTCGGACCGAAAACATTGACGCCACACATCGTCCTGGGCTCCCTGGAATCTCCCCGCGGACCAGTAGGGCCTGCCGTTGGCAGCCTCCCACTGAAGCGCGATGTCTCTTCGCGCCTTGGCCCAAAGCCTGTAAGGGCTCCCAAAGACACCGATGGGTCGAAATCCCGAGGTGGGTTTGGCCAACAAGGCCACGATGAGGGCCCTGAGCTGGCGGGGGAGCATCCCCGACGTTTCGACCAACAGCAAAATCTGGGCCAAGGCTTCCAAGGCTCCGTCAGACAAATGGGAGTAGTGCCGCATCTGAAAGCCATAAAGCCCCACGGCAATCCTCCTCGAGAACTTGCGCGAGACAGAACGGATGTCCGACGCCGATAGGAGCGGAAGGGGAGCGTTGAGGGTCCCCCTAACCTCAGGCTCCCTATCGGTGGCCTTCCAGAGGCCCCCGAACCTGTCCGACTCGGCACGCAGAAGCTCGCACGGGTCCGAAATAACCGAGCCGAACTTGGACAAAAACGTGGTAGGACGCCACGCAACAGAGCCCACCGTGACTTGATGCACCCTTCTCGCTCCATTAGTTACCCCGTCCAAGAACCACGAACTCCAGTCCTTCTTCGACTGGATCTGAAAAAGCTGATTGGCTGCCTCGAGCTGCAGCGCCACGGAAGTCCTCAGCTGGAGACACGTCTGCCAAACCTGAGCGTCGGCAGGCCGCCCGAGCCACGCGCGGACCGCCTCCTGCACCTCAGAGAAAAAAGTGGCGAAGTCACCCTGGTGGCGCTGGATGAAAGCGGGAAAAAGTGATGAGGAGGGAGCTGTGGGGAGAATGATCGGCCTTGGCTTCCACGCTGCCTAAGAAGGCGCAGACCGTCGCATGGAGCCTCGGAGAAGCTTTCGAAGCCTTCCTCGAAAACGCAGAAAACCGGACGCCTTCTGAGAAGCCCCGCCGCCCTCCGAGAAGGCCTTCTCCTTCTCACCTCCTCCCCTCGCTCGCCGCGGGAAAGCTCTGGGACGCGCTCGTCCACGCGCGTCGGCAAGCCCGCGCCTTCGCGCACTCGAGTCGCACGGCTCCCCGACAGGTTGTCACTGCTTCAGCACCCGGGCCGTGTCATTACCCGCAGGACTGGGGCCCCCCGGGGGTGGGGCCGCGGAGGCCCCGCGGAGGCTTCGGGAAGACCCCACGGGAGCGCCGGACACGTCCGCAGCTCTCGATGCTCGAATCTCCCCGGACCTCCGACCTCCGGTAAATTGTTGCTGCGAGGCCTCGTGACAGTCGTGATAGGCACATTCAGGGGGACGTAAGACCTGGGTACAGGGGACTCGGAAATCCCCGACGAGGTCGTCAAAAAAATGACGAGGCCGGGCCTGCATTTTGACGAGGCCTCCCGCTGCAGACATCCCACGAAACTCCTCCTCGTCAAAATCCCAGGCGCGATCGTCAAAAAACGGTGGCGAACCCGAGTCCCGGCAAACCCGGGTCTTACGCTCCCCCGACACATGAGCAATGCAGACAAGCTGGCGCAGAGCGCAGTGCCTCCGCACAGACGTCTTCGAGCCGTCTGCTGGGATGGTCGGTATCTTCTCGCGGGGAGAATCGGAGGCGTCGCAAGCGGCAGCGGCAAGCCTGCCGACTTCTCAGGCCCACGTCTGCCTAGGACGACCTCTCTTCCTAGCGCCGACCTCCGGCAAAAGGGGACCAAAAGTGGCACGGTACGGTCGGACCTAGGACAGAAGAACATCCTTCAAGAATATGGGACCGTCTGCTGGCCAAAACACCCCAAACCATACGATCACTCGAGGGTACCCTTCCCCAGGATGCACAAGAACATTCAACAAGCACGAAGAACATTAAGGCATGCTCCCCGAAGCGACCTCGATCAGTACCTCGGTCCGACCGTAAGGGGACCAAAAGTGGCACGGTAAATTCGTGCGGCGTCGGCGCACGCCAAGATTTTCGGCACCCCGCCGATCGTTCCACCTTGAACCCATGGCGGCCCCGATCGTTCAAGGTTGCATTCCGTCGGGAGCTGTGGCGTTACCGTGTCCCTCGGTGCTTCCGCGTCGAAGAATCTAATCTTGAACGCCTTCGCCGGCGTCGCTGGCGCGCCATTGCCGCATGAACGTACCTTACGTACCCCTTCTCTAACTCGACCCCGTGGTTCGCCCCCCTCCTCTCCCTCACCCCCCATATCCCCGCACTCCAGATTCAAGGGTGACTCTGGACTCGCGCGGGCCTTTTAGACTCACGCCTGCGCTGCTCAAAGCCCGCGAGCCAACTTTCAATCTGGGGGAAGGGGGCGGGCGGCTGGAGTTAAAGGTTACTCTCTTGGGCCCTCCTGCCGCCATTCCCGACCTCTGGGTGGTCAGCCGTTGCGATCTGAAACAAGAGACACGCCCATAGATCCACACGGGCTCTCTGCCCAAGGGTCCCACGAATCTCGGCGCGAACGGGCCACTAATGCCATGCCCCATGGTGGCCCCCCATCTGGAGGCGCAAGTGCCGCGCCTGCTGGACCGCGATGACTGTTGGGGACTTGAACAACAGCACGCCAGGTCACCGAACTTCGCGCAACGCGCCAAGCGAGGCGCGATCACCCCCGCGTCTTCGCGCCCCCGCGCCGCCCCCAGGCTCGGCCGCCCTGGCCCAGACCGCGACGCGCGAAACGCAACTTCTCCTCGCGCCCCCTCGGGCGACCGGGGGGCACGCCTCACGCCCCTTACACGGGCCTTCCCCCCAGCCCCAGCGGCTCTGTGGCTCGAAGATGGGGTGCTGAGAGAGATGGGGTCTTCAGGACAGGAGAGGACCCAAAAGGGTGAATTCACGTGAACTCCTCAGGACCCCATCGCTGAACCACCGAGCGGCAGCCGCCTGCAAGGTGCGCACGTGCACCTCGAACCTGTCTCCGACGAACGCCGCCGCGCCGGGGGCGGCGGCGCCGCCTGCGGGCATCGGCCGGCCGCGGCGGCGGCCGCCGGGCCCGGGTGAGGCGACCCACGGCTTCGAGCGCGTGGGGGCATGAGGGAGGGCGGGAGCGACGAGCGAGGAAGGGAGGGGGAGAGGGGGAGCAGCGAGGGAGGGGGGGAGAAGGGAGAGGAGGGCATGGGGGGGAGGAGAGGAAGGGGAGAGGCACAGAACTAAGGAGGCGACGGTCAGATAATCTCTCTCTCTCTCTCTCGCTCTCTCTCTCTCTCTGTATGTATAACTCTCTGCGTCTACTCGAACCACACACACACGCACACACATACATACTTAACATGCGCAGATGCATGTATGCATGCATACACACATATACGCGTGTATGAGAGTGTGTGCGTGTGCATGCAGTTGTGTGTTTGTGTGTGCATGTGTGTATGTGTATGTGTGTGCGTGTGCGCGTGCGCGTGCGCGTGCGCGTGCGCGTGCGCGTGCGTGTGCGTGTGCGTGTGCGTGTGCGTGTGCGTGTGCGCGTGCGTGTGCGTGTGCGTGTGCGCGTGCGCGTGCGTGTGTGTGCGTGTGCGTGTGCGTGTGCGTGTGGGTGTGCGTGTGTGTGTGAATGTGTGTGTGTGTGTGCGTGTGCGTGTGCGTGTGTGCGTGTGCGTGTGCGTGTGCGTGTGTGCGTGCGTGCGTGCGTGTGTGTGTGTGTGTGTGTGTGAATGTGTGTGTGTGTGTGTGTGTGCGTGAGCGTGAGCGTGTGCGTGTGCGTGTGCGTGTGCGTGTGCGTGTGCGTGTGCGTGTGGGTGTGGGTGTGGGTGTGTGTGTGTGTGGGCGTGTGCGTGCGAGCATGTGTGTGGGGGTGAATGTTTGTATGTCTGTGTGTGCGCGTGCGCGCGTGCATAACCCAATATCATTGTCACCAGATCGGCCCGTGCCACCTCCTACCTACCAATATCCCTCCTCGCTGTTATATTTTCACCTGCTCCTCCACCTCCTCTCCCTAGGCCACCTCCTCTCTCACCTCTCTCTTCCGTCCTCATTGCCATTCTCCTATCTTTTTCCCTCCTCCCCGCCAACTACTTTCCCCACTCTCATCCCCCACCTCCGTGCCCACATCATTTCCATGCCCCCCACTCCCTCCCCATCTCCCCACACTCTCGTTTCTCGTCGTCGCCGTCCTCCTCCTCCTCCTCCTCCCTCTACTCCCGACAGCCTCATGCCACGCTGCTCCGTTCGTAGCGCGAAAATGGCCTCTACCAACGCCCCCATCCGGCCATGGTTCCGGAGGAGCCCAGCCGCTGCGTCTGCAGGAAACTCCGTGGGGATGTTATGTCTTTCGCACGGCCCTGCCTGCGCCCAAATCGGACACCGGGTTCAAGCGGAACTGCCGCACGGGAGGCAGGACATGGTATTTGGACTCGGGCGTGGCTTAGTGGGGGGGTCATAAATGGGGGGGTCAGAAACGGTCCCTTTTCGTGCCCCTTTCGGGGCCCCCTGGACCCCCAGGGGGCTCGTTTAGGTACCGTTTGGGTACCTTTTCGGACCACCCTCGCCACCCCCCCATTTATGACCCCTCCATTACGCAACGCCCAATTGGACAAAGCCAGCGGTGTCTCCGGGAACCCCTCCAACAATACCTTCGACTTAGTCCAACAGCTGCCCTGACCTTGCGTGGAACGCCAGGGTGGTGCGCCAGTGCGCTGGTCCGACCTACGGGGTCCATTCGGAAACCGGTATCACTGAAAGTCCTGTTCCTTCTCCTCCTCCTCCTCCTCCTCCTCTTCCTCCTCCTCGTCCATTGGTCTCCAATGTCCTCTTCCTTCCTCCTCCTTTCTCCTTTCTCCTCCGTCCGCCTTCCATGCCTTTCAAACGACTCTTCCTCTGTCGCGCCCCCAGACGTGTCGGTAGGGCGGGCTAGGCGTTTTGCCTGAGACCCCCTCGCCACTTATGATCCTAAAGCATGAGATTTGCAGCCGGTTCGCGGATGGAGGGCAAGCCATTTTCAAATGGTGGTTCTCGCTTCAACGCCGCGCACGTTCGTCTTAAAAAGTTGCAACTTCACAAATGGAGGGCGGACCGGTATCAACATATGGCTCTCGTTTTAGCGACGCGCACGTTCGTGCTAAAAGTCTACAGCAGCTTCACGGATGGAGGTTGCTCTGTTTGTTTTGTTATGTTGTTCTCGTCTAAGCGCCGCGCGATCATTCGTCGTACAAGTTTGCAAGAATTTCACACATGAAAAACGACAAGTTTTCAAAATGGTGCTCTTGCCTTAGCGTCACGCCCATTCGTATTGTAGCGCAAACGTGGCCTGGCACGATTTAGGGGTGTCACGACGGTACCGTCACGCTGATTCCCACTCTTGAAGCCCCAGGACACGTGTCAGGCTATTATTCGGGAAGAGAAAAGCGCGACAATCACGTTTGACGCCCCCCGGTCTAAAAGGCAACGTCTCACAACGATGATGCACGTTTGGGGGACTGACAAACATGGGGAGTGTAGGGATGGTCTACTATTGATGCGTCTTGAATTTGCACTTGTCCTCCTCCCTCCTCCTCCTCCGTCCTCATGTTCCCGCTCTAGAGGAAAGAGAAGTATGCACATACACCGATTCTGGCCAGGTCCATCCTGAGCCCAGGATCGGTGCATACGCCCTCCTACCTTGGCCAGGAAGGCATATGCACCGATCCTGGGTCAAGGATGGGCCTTGCCAGGGTCGGTGCATGTGCATAGTTCTCTTCGCCCGACGCTCCTCCTCCCTCATCCTCGGGCGAAAGGGCAGCGGCGACGGGACCTTCCGACTCCAGCAGGTCGTGGAAGCGGCCCGCGGCACCCAGCAGCTCGGCCGCCGCGCTGGCCAGCGCCATCCCATGCGGATCGCGCGCGCGGCAGCCCGTGGATCCCGAAGGCTGTGGCGGGGCGCGGCGCGGCGGCGCGGGCGAACGCCGCGCGGGCGCGACGGCGCGGCCTCGGCGTCGACGTGCTAGCGGCGCGCCAACGGGGACGTGGCGCGAGGGGAAGCGGCGGCCTCCTGCAAGGGCGGGGCCCTCTGAGAAGGAAGGAGGAAAAAGAGAACGAGGCATCGGAAGCATCGGAGCCCCTCCAAGGAGGCCCCTCCCCTCCACGTCGGACGAGGGCCGCCCCCCTCGCGCCACCTCATCGGACGCGCTGCTGGCCTGGGTCGCCAAGCCTCGCGTCCCCCAACGCGCGGAGAGCCGCGTTCCTCCTCCTCCTCCTCCTCCTCCTCCTTCTCCTCCCTTCTCCTCCCTTCTCCTCCTTCTCCTCCCTCCCTCCTTCTCTCCTCCTCCTTCCTCCTCCTCCTCCTCCACCCTCCTCCCCTCCTCCCTCCTATTCCCTCTCCTTCCTCCTTCCTCCTCCCCTCCTCCTGTCCATCCTCGTCCTCCTCTTCCTCCTCCTACTCGCCCTCACTCCTCCTCCCCCCTCCTCCTCCTCCTCCCTCCTGCGCTCCTCCTCCTCCTCCTCCTCCTCCTCTCCTCCCATTCCCTCTTCCCCCTCCTCCTCCCCCTCCTCCTCCCCCTCCTCCTCCGCTCCGTCCTCCTCCTCCTAATTCTCTCGTCCGCTCGGCGAGCGAGTCGTCGTCGTCCTCCTCCTCCTCCTTCCCCTCCTCCTCCGCCTCCTCCTGCTCCTCCTCCCTCTACCCTCCTGCTAC